TTGCTCCAAATATGATGTTCTGTGATGTATTTGATCTAACTTCTGATTTCTTATTTAGAGTTGGTGGCCGTGAGAAATTCTTCCATTGCAAGAAATGTGGTACGTAAATGCTCTTTGGCATTTCTATATCATTACTTTATCTCGAAATTCATTGTGCAATTCCATTCATTGTCTCTGCTGTTAAAAACTGATGGCAAATGGAGACAGTAATTTACTCTTCTTTTAATTTTTGAAGTTCATTATTAATTCCGATTATGAGGATTATAATTATTTTGAACTTAAATTTTTGGTGATCAAATAAATAGAACTAGTCTTTAGAACTTAACGGGATTTTAAGGTTTCTCTAAGTTGAACACTACAGCACTTAAATTTCTTCTTATATTTTATCTTAATTGTGCAGGCTCTTGTTATTCAGTTAGTTTGCGTAACAATCATTCATGTGTGGAAAACTCCATGCGACATCACTGTCCTATATGTTATGAGGTTTCCTTTTTGCCAATTTCGAGTTCTTTACTGTTAATCTTGAGTAGTAAGATTGTAATAATGCCCGGTTTTTTGTATTTACAGTATCTCTTCGACTCTTTGAAAGATACAATCGTTATGAAATGTGGACACACCATGCACTGTGAATGTTACCACGAGATGATAAAGCGTGAAAAGTAATTAAAAAATTTACCTTGCAATATATTTTGAGATTCAATTTTTAGATTAAAAGAATTTGTGCACGACTTTGTTACCAAGTTGCATTGATGGTGGCTTTAGGTACTGCTGCCCAATATGCTCTAAATCAACCATCGACATGTCCGTAACCTGGAAGAGAATAGATGAAGAGGTAGGTTCCCAATTATTGCTGATTTCACTGTGGGAAGCTGATATTCAGTTACATTTGTAGCATTTCTTTCGCCTCAAGCTTCTCTGCGTATCGATAGTAGTTTTTTTGTCTTTCAATTTATGCTTTATGGTTCATAGCTTGTCACAGTACCTCTTTTTTTTTCCCCCCTACGAGAACCTTGTCTATCCATTAATTTCATTGTTCTACTAAAAACACGGGGGAACTCCTTTGTAGATCATTTCCCTTGTCTCAAGCACTTTCTCACTGAGATTTTTCGTTGAAGTTTTCTACTTTTTCAAGGCTATATGAATAAGCACTTTTTCCTCCCTCCCATTATCATTCGCTTCGTCGATTTTAACTCGATTCGTATTTAAAATGTTGCGTGTTTTCAGATAGAAGCGACTGTCATGCCTGATGAGTACAGATATAAGAAGGTACTTTCGTGCATCCCTTCTTAATTTCAATGTTCTAACTTCTTTGTCTTATTTAGTACTATCAAATATTGTCTAATCCAACTTACCGACATAATGCACTGAACTTCATCTGATATGGTTAAATTTCGCAGATTTGGATTCTGTGCAACGATTGCAATGACACGACCGAGGTTTACTTCCATGTAATTGGTCAGAAATGCAGCCATTGTGAATCGTACAATACTCGGACAATTGCATCTCCTGTTCTTCCTCAATGAACATCATTTTTACTAATTTGCAGCCTGAAACAAGAGGGACCTTTTGTTTTTATCAGTTTCCATTGTTTCCAACTTAAAAGACAGATGTCAACAGCAACTATTGGACTTCTTTATTGTGTTGCGCTCATCTTCTGTGAGTTGCACCCATTGAACTACAGTCTATAATGAATTTACGGCTTAGAAAACTTTTCTAAGGCAATTCTTTCTCCAAAAATATGGAGAAACATTCAACTAATTGAACTCTGAATTGCTGTACACTATTATGCACGCAGTACGTTGAATAATGCTATTTATCATTATGATGATAAAATATCGGTGATGTGGTGGTTTATATGAAATAATGAGATTAGACAATTCAATTTTTATGAGAGGTTGATGAGACGTGGTATCAAAAGAGAGAGAAATATAAGGGATAATGGGTTGTCCGCTGTCTTCATGATGATAAATAGCATTACTCCGGATTTTCAATTTCAAAAATATGGGCTCAATTTTAATGTAAGTTTTGTGGCTGCTTGGATATCTTCATTGTTTGTTCGGTGGAAATTAGTATTAAAATCTGTTACGAATTGGTTTATTTACTCATAAATATTCAATTCTATCATCTTGGTTCTTACAAACTTGAAGTGCCCTCAAATTTGTTTACTTTTTATGAAAAAGAAATTACATTAATAATTGTAAAAATCATAAGAATATATCATTTTACGCATGTATATAGAAATGTTTAAAAAAGTTATAATAAGGAATGTGATAATTATTGAGTTGTGGGCCTTAAATATTTTTGTCGTGCAGAAAACCACGCAGATCGATTTTTGTAATTTAAGAATTTCACACTTGTAATTTCGGTTTTGACTATTTTATAAATAGGAAAAACCTCATTAGGGTTCTGAATTATCACGAGAGAGAGAGAGAGAGAGAGAGAGAGAGAGAGAGAGAGAGAGAGAGAGAGAGAGAGAGAGAGAGTAGTGAATATAGAG